AAAAAAAGGTTAATTATTCTGAACTAGTTATGTTCGACTGTAGGCAAAATAATGTAAGTGTTCTTTTTTCGTCACCACTTCATGAATCTATGCTAACTACGATTAATCCAGAGCGGCAACTGCCGAAGAGATTCTCATTGTCGATACATAGATTTTAATGTGTTTTTCAAAGATGAGAAGACAGTTTGCACCATAAGGCACGTAACCTTATGATTTCCGCGATTCTTCAGCGCCGAACAGTACCAAACGATGTTGATTACTGAAATAAAGATAAGGTTCTCTTACTAGATTATCAAGCATCAATTAGAATCAACATCATTTGGGTAAGTTAATATGGGACGCCACCCACTTAACATGCTCTGAATTGAGCTTTGCCTCTTACCAAGCATGGCGTGAAGGCCGACTCGTCGATTGAAGATGTAGTGCTGATGTTTGCTTGCTTGCAGAGGCGGAGAGGTCTTGCTAATCGGCGCCTTCGTGGATGAGATGTGATTTATGTCCGTTCCATGTGAGTGCATTCCGATTTCAGAGACGTATTGTGTTTCTCTGAGTGGTTTTCATTCGGGTGGTCGTGTACTGTTCTCATTCGCTGTTGGTGATCTGACATAGATGCAGCACTCTTTCTATTAGATCGTGAAGAAAGTTCGCGTTTTTGCGCCTCAAACTTCAAATGCACATATCGGCTTAAACAAAACTTCATCAATCGAAATCACAACCATCACTGTCGACACACTTTTGCCAACTAGAAACAAGTTTGTTTATCAGATTCGCATGAAAGTCCGGGGATCTAGAGGCGATGAAATCGTCGAATGCTGCGGCAACATCATTATTCATTTATTTATTTATTTATTTATTTATTTATTTATTTATTTATTTAGTTTGCACTCTTGGTGCGCCCGAACAATCCAGAAAAGTATAACGTAAGGCGACGAAAGAACGAAACAATGCAGACAATACTTGTACATCATGTTGGGTTTCGAAGCATTTCTCCTTGAGAAAGCCGTCGAGATGTTTAAGGAAATGGTAGTCAGTGGGAGCAAGGTCTAGGGAATATGGTGGATGCGGAGAATTTCATAGCCTAGCTCCATCAATTTTCTCAGGGTAAGTTGTGCGACGTGGGGCCGAGCGTTGTCATGTAGTAGAATTGGCCCTTCCTATTCACCAGTGCTGGGCTCATGAGCTGAAGTTTTCGATGCATTTCGTCAATTTCTTGACAGTACTTTTCGGCTGTTACGGTATCACCCGGATCCATGAAGCTGTGGTGGATCAGCCCGGCTGCAGACCACCAATCAGCGCCATGACCTTTCCATGCTGCTTCGGCTTGGGAAAATGTCGTGGAGCTTGATCCTTGTTCAGATACTGGCCTGATCTTCGCCGGTTGTCGTACAGAATCTATTTCTCATCACACGCCACAATACGGTCTAAAAATGGATCGTTCCTGTTGATGAGCTGAAGGTGAGCTCGTAGCGGCGGTCTTTTGGGTGCTGAGTCAACTCATGCGGCACCCACTTATCAAGCTTCCCGACTCCCCGATATCCTGCATGTGAGTGCCGACCGTCCTGCTGGAAACATTCAATCTCGAGCCAATTTCCTGCAGCGTTGTACGTGAATTCTCTTCCAATAACGTTCTCAATTGTTCGTTGTCAGCCCACTGCGCTCATCTTCCAGGCTCTCGCTGCCGGTACGAAATTTTTTAATACACCACTGTGCTCTACCTTGATTCGTCGTACCTAGATCAAGGGCATCGTTGATATCCCGGGCCGTTTCCGTCGCACTCCTGCATAATTTGAATTGGAAAAGATAAATCGTGTGAACCTGCCGTTTGTTCTTGATGATTTTGACCTTCTAAAAAACCCCAGGAATCACTCCAGGACAAAACCAATTATGTATTTGGATAGAGCAAGAAATGCGCTTTAGAATGGTATAAAGCTTGCAAATAATCTTGTAGTAAATAACACCGCGGCGAGCATTTGAATATTGGGCGTCAAAAAACGCAAGAACTTTCTTCACAACCTAATAGTAACTTTAGCTGAAACATTAACAGAAGATTTCGAGCTGTCACCTTCTGCAAACACATCGAGAAATATTTCTAGTCTCTTCGTTTTCTTTTAAGATATTCTTTTCGGTCGTAAGGAAGAAAAGTAGAAAGCAACCGATCGAGCAATTCATTTTGCAATGCGCTTCATTACATGAAGTGCGCATTCGAGAGTTTGCAATGGTTTGCGGGGATAAAGCGATGTTTAGGCATATTTAAGCACGTTTCATATTTGAGTGGATGGACCCGAAAGGAATACCGCCTGGAAAAGGCGACATCGTCTGCTCACTGCTGTGCGACGCGCTCTTCTTACCTCTATAGATAGACCCGCCCTCATATGAAGGATTCCTGTATTTCACACCCTTAAACAAAAACATATAAGATCGTAACCTACGAAATGTTGATGATCCGCAAAAATTGAGTCTTAAGTGAGATCACACAATGCTAGCCCATTTACTCTGCGACAACCATAATGATCAGTGAGTAAACGAGCTCGGAAGCGGTTCGGCCTTGAGAGCGTGTACGATCCGTTGTTCGGCTTGCTTCACCGTTGTGAAGCAAGCGATAGCTGTGAAATGATCGAGGAATTGTGGTCAAACCTACAACAAAATTCAATGGGGCTGTTGTTGTTTGCGATTTCTGGGCTTCGTTTCCCCGAGATTTGCTATATTCCCCTGTGCATGTTCTTATGTAGTATCCCAAGTGGTAAAGTTGTTAGATAAGGGTTTTTGGAAGTCCGCAGTGGTGGTGCTTTATCCGTTATCCCTCAGATATAATTACGAACGGATTGTTTCAGTGCGGAACTGATCTTGGCAGGAGCACGATTTTACAAACATCCAGAGAAGGATGACACAACGTTAGTGGATGTTGTGATGCTAGCCGATCTCAAGGGACTACTTCCTAAATTCCTCGTGAATCAGGTACGTTAGCTAAAGGCCGCGTACCATACGGTGGGACCCATTTGTTTTTGCATACTATTGATATTCATGCTTTTGCTGATGGGGTAGGTAGATTGATGATCCCCCTTTTACAGTAGAGGGTTCAAGCTAAAAATGGCATTTGATACTTTATTTTGAAGACTGTTCGGTAAATAGAAATTTTCAGATACTGGGAAAAATAATGCTAATGGATACTGAAGAAAATCGACGACACTTCCAGAGCATTAGAGATAGAAAGAGCCAACGAAATGAACAGTGATTGACTATATCGGACGCCGTTCATTTTACGTGTATAAACTAGGCCTTTTATAAATTAAATAAAATATTTTCCTAGTTTTGTTGTCAATCATTTGCTGTTGGAGATCAGGACGAATTCGATGACGCAGGGCTAATTTCATGAAGCGTCGAAATTAATTAAGTTGAAATCATGACACCGAATATGAATTGGTCATTCAACGAATCTTGGGAAATATTGAATCACCACGGAATTTAATTAATTCGACTATGACACCAAACGATGGAATATAAAGGGTCAGAAATTGACGGTGAGTTCATTAGTGCTGTACAGAGTAGCGTCCATTTCCGACTCCAATTTCCAGTGAGGATTCTGGATTAACTCTCCTTCTCATTTCGTTCCGTATTTAGTTGAATTGAAATGGAAACCGTTGTGACCTCGCCTTAGTGATGTTTAATCCTCATTTGTGAGTGTATTAACTTCCACAGATTATAAAACTTGGTAGATTCGATGCTCTTCGCCTTCTTCAGAGCTCAAAAACTCATTTGGGACCATTTCTCACGAAGGGCCCAAGTCTTTCTTCGTCAGGAAGACTCGTTAGATCCGATCAAGCAAGCTAATACACTCATGAAATAATGTTCATGCCAGGATTATACGAAAGTCGATCTTGGTCTGTTCTTTCTTGAGAGCTCGTTCAGATGTGCTTCATGTGAATTGGAAAAGAGTATAGTTGTTTATAAGGATCAAGATACCCTCTGTTGCAGGATGTTATTAACAGCGCTATTAACCCTTTTAATCATCGTCGTCGATGGGAAATTGTTGATAAATCCAAACTGGAGCAATAAGGCTCCATTGCCTAACTCTTTGCTGGAAACACCGAACAGAGGTGAGATATCTTGGAGGTAGGCGAATGATCAGTTGAGGTAGAGTGTAAACATTGTAGACTTCTGGTCTCTGGTAGACATCTTTCAGAGGTGAGTTTTCTTTGACATTTCTTGATTGGGCGGTTATTTTATCGCCTTCAGGCATTGCTATGTTGATTATCTAACAACATTCCTGTAAAATTCTTATGCACAGTGCAAAAGGCTAACGATGAGATAAGGTGCTAGCCGACTCCAATCTAATCCCTATACTGGGGTATACACGGATCTGATTTGGGTTAAAGCAAGAAGATATCTGGTCCCTGAAGTTTTATAAAGTTGTGGAATCCCGTTTTATATGCGCTGCCGCAACCGACTTCCATTCCGAAACATGGTGGAGCTTTGTAGGTGCTTTTACCCTTCAGGCAAGTCTGATACCAGTTGATTGCGCATGGTTCTATCTGCAAAGTTACGTGATTCCCTTACTATAATATATGCCGAATACTTTCTGAAATATTGGGTCAATCTGGGTGATCCTGCTGCTTGAGCAATTGGCACCACTCACCTAGCTATCACTGGAATAGAAAAGGGATTTGAATAGAAAACACGAACTGCATAGAGGCTAGGGCAGATTTCCAGGACAAATGTTACATCGATGATCAAACTTCGGAGTGTTGAAGATCCCACTGCATATATGCCATACTGTATTGTGCTGTAAGTTGAAGCAAAATCGTGGGCGTACTACTTGGGAACAACGACTTAATGAGTCACTTTCCTACAAGTGGTGCCAGGGAATTCTTCTCCATGTAGCCCATCCCAAGAGAAACCTCACAGTTGAGCATCTGTGCTACTACGCGTCCAAATGCTCACTCCATGCCGCTCTAAACACTGACTTTTACTGATTGTACAATAGTGTGGCTTTTCAAGATTACGGCACTGATTTCAGGCTGCTCAGCTTCTCCCCTACGACCTGAAAACTTATGGTCACTATGCAGCCAAAATCGGCCTCACATACAGCTTGGACTCTGTTCCACTCATTTCATCGAATGTTCTCGTACAGGAGAGGGTGCCGTTATCCGATCGTGCCCGTACAAAACATTTGTGAGTGCCAAATTCCATTAGCAAGCCTTCACCGCCTCTTGAGTCTGTGATGTTAGTTTTAAAAAAAAGTATCAGAAGGTACGAACTCCTAGAAATACACCTTGCTGAGACCTTGGAACTTTTTTCTTCCACAATAATATCGCAAACTGCCGCACAGTGCAGGTCTTCATGAACGGTCGTTGCCAACCTGCTGAAAATTTCGCCGAATGTAAGGACCGCGTTCTGTACCGAATCAATGAGGAGACGAAGCAATTGGTCGAGGTATGTCCTCTTCACAGGAATCTTTGATCTAATGGTAAGCAAAAAAGGATTTGTTACAGTCCGAGTCGTTCTGTGCCAATTTCGCCGGTATCTATCGAAGCCGTTGTGGTGCCAGCGATTGTTCGCGACAAGCACTTATCTGTCACCCAAATGGAAGGGATGCGATACCAGTCATTTGTGCTGCTGGTAAGGACCTCAGATATAGCAGTACTAAGACACTCTATGGAAACTATCGGGTAAAAATGTTCAAAAAAAAAGAAAACTATCGGCTAAAAAAGTTAAAAAAAAGATAAGAATAGAGAAAGATAAAAAAGCAGTGCGAGTAGCTACGGAATGCTCGAATGCGAACAGATCAAAAGGGTGTTTTCAACCTCTGATGAATTGGGTATTGAGCAGACTAAACATTTTATGATATTCGTTCCTCAGAAAAAAACTTCAAGCATCTCTTATATCATATCACGTCATATCATATCACATCATATCATACCATAACGTATCATATTACATATATCATATCATACCTTGTTTATCACATCATATCATGATATCGTATCATATTATACATTATCGTGCCATATCTTATCAAAATACCGCAAATATTTGCAAAACTTACGAACAGAGTTCACATACTACTCATAAGTGTTATTTACAAATAAACAGCTGAAGCTTTCCTGTCAGTAGATGTTTATTCTTCTGTAAAATCCCGTCATCATGGAAGTTGTAGACAAGTTCCTTACAATATATGATCAATTCATAGCAATCCTACCGGTTTTATTCTGTTCGTCGATGGAAGCCCGACACAGTCCTCTGAAAAACCAATTTCAAGGTACTGCCCACAAGCATTCAGTTCTACGCCCTTGTTTCAGGTCAAGTCCTTACTGAAGGGCTTGAATGCGTTCCAGCTGAACAATGGTGTCCTTCTGAATTGGATCTGACTGCCCCGATCCGTCAGCTATTTCTGCAGAGGACATGTGAAAGGGGTTTAGCACCTTATGGAAGCTCAGCTCAAATAGGAAGGACTCAATGTGCTTCATGGTAGGTCAAGAAACTTTAGAAGTCTGTTTGCAATTAATACTTCTGTACGACTTTCAGGTATGTAGCGTGTCGACCACGACCTTCTGTGATTTACTGTGGAAATGGTGAGATTTTCGATAGTCGCCTGAAGCGCTGCAGAAAATGGAATGCTGGCGACACTTGTGCGATGGCGGGCATTTGCAGGTGAGAAGTCCTGTAAGGCTGTTAGGCTTTCCCCTAGCCATCGAATTATTCCCTCAAGTAGTGCATAAAGAACGATCTTAAACAGCTTAGATATGTAGGTAAAGGGCAGCCAACGTACCAAGAGTTAACAGAGAATTTGGAAAATATTTTTTCAATTAATTTTTACAGAGATCTAGCTGTAGTAGCTGATTTTAGAGGTCACGAATGGCAGTTGGTTCCACTTGGGGAGTGCGAAAGCGAATTTGTTTCCTGCGAAGGATCAGTGGGAAAACTGTACACTTGTCAGGAAGGCAATGTTTTCAATGGCCGTTACTGTTCACCAAGAAACGTCGTCGAAGCATGTGCAGCATGTCGCAAAGGGGAAAGACGGCCGGGCCCATCTTGTAATGAGGTTAGGTCTCAGTTGTTACAAGTGTTACACTCTTCCAAATGTTTCTCGTTATCATATCATGTTTTCGGCATGGTGTGTCTAATGTGACTGTGAATGTGTATAATTCAAATTACTGGCTTAGTTCACGATAATTTTGAAGACGACTCAGCGAAGAATAAGACTTCCCCAAGGTAGTGCAAATGGAGGTTGTTCAATACTACCATGGCGGAAAGACCATAAAAGGGGTATTTGGACGAGCTGCATTTGCATGAAGAGCTGACAGCATTAAGTTAAAAATGTCCAAAACTGTCTTCTATCGTCACCTGGATCACGCCTGGTTGTTTGAATTTGTGTGGTGTCCCTGTGAATGGTGCAGTTTCTATGACGCCATTGAAAATTGTCCACTTTTGGGTGTGGCATACAGCTGACACAATCTTTGAGACTTTTTAACGATCTGACTATCCTACATATTTTCCGATCGGACAGCGGCACATACGGCATTCAGGGGGCCACAGATTCATCGTAGTGGGGTATCTCAAAAACCATTTTCACTCTGAAGTGAACTGTGCCTTTGAATCCGGTGAACCAGAAACCATCGAGGCAGGTTGAAGAAGTGCAGAGGGCATTGTGCTTACACAGCGTCCTCAATGTTTTTCTACTAGTATTTTTAAAGAATTTCAATAGTTTTCATAGGTGAGAATTGTAAACCCATCCAAAGTGATGCCTATGACCACAATTCACAGCAGATCGCATTTATTGCTCACCCTCCAAAAAGGAAAAAGAGCCGGTGCGGAACGAGATATGTCAAAATTATCTTCTTTAGACAAATCATGTGATACTTAGGAATGTCTTTCACTAACGTTTGCATGCGTCAGAACACGCTTTCCACTAGCATATAAAACCTCGTCTTACAGTTCTACGAATGCACCCAAACATATGAAGGACCCCAGTGGAGGCTGCAAAAATGCGACTATGGTAGTGGCTTCAACAACCGTAAAATGGCCTGTCAGCCTGACTACATGTGTGCAACGAAGAGAACAGTAAGTGACTTCTGCATGGTATGTGTATTATACGAATATTTACAATCATTGATCAACGCCCAAAGGCTTTATCCTTTATCCTTTACCTCACAACAGGTGAACGCCTTGATCGACAGCAAAAAGATCGTCTATCGTACTATACCCCAAAAGCCGCCGTTATACTGAGCCACAGTGCCATTTGTTCGAGTATTTTGCCTACACAATAATCCAGAGTCCCTGTCCGATGAGTAATTTAATGTACGCCAGCTACAAGACTCCAAGAACCATTTGATATCATCTAATCAGTCTGGTAGAAAAGGAACTTCTAATCGATAGAACATCTGTAAACTTTGATTTATGAATTCCAGTGCGTTCAAGGATCATCGTTTCCTCTTGACTGCCCTTACTACATGTATTGTACTGGTGAATACTATGAGGTGAGCACCTGGTATTTATGGTCTATTCGTGAGAGTCACAGATTCATTCTAGCGGGAAATCTCGGGAAACCAGTTTAATCGTGAACTGTGCCTTCAATAACTATTTCTGGTGATATTTCTGGTGACATAGTTGATATTCCTCACAGTTCCTTAGTGCCTTACACGTTTTTTAAAAAGATCCAGGTTCTCCCTAAACAACTTGCCCTTAAATTCTTGCTTTTAAGCGACTCAAATTCAAAGTGTAACGTATCATATATGGAGGCGATTTAGACTTTCTCCTGTCATCCGAACACCCGCTGGGATCCTGCTACGAAGCGATGCGTCCAAGACTTTACATGCATGAATTCAAATTACGAACAACAGGTAAGATCCCTAAAGGATTCCTATCTAGGTGATCACTATGACCCTATAAACTTCAGAAGCAATGCCTTGAAGGCTATACAATCCCCTCTTCTGACTGCGTCACTTACCAAGTTTGCTACAATGGCAAGTACGTCCCTGCGAGTTGTGGAAACTTCTCTCAAACAGCTTCAGGTATGTGGATTCTATAGTTACCAGACCAACATATTCGGGTTAAGGAACAAGGCCGGATTCTGGTCTGGTCTTGTTCCTTAACCCGAATATGTTGGTCTGGTAACCATGACTGTCATTTCAGGCCCTTGCTCACACTGCTTCTCTTCGCCGAGCAGATATACCGTAAATCAGCTCACCATCCCTGGCCAATGCTCAGCGCAAGACCGACTACCCCATCCACACGACTGTGCGGCATATTACGCCTGCTCTGGTGGAAACTGGGTTTATAGCAGGTTTGGTAACCTCACTGATTGCAGTATATTCCTGCACATAGCTCCAAGCTTACGTGCCGGTCCTGCCCACTGTTTAGATAGAGTATGGTCAATTAGAGTTGGGCAAAAAGGAAGAACAGCATGTGATAGTACGCAGTATGACAGCGCTCCACCCCCTCCCTTTATGATTAATGCATAGTTAAGCTGCCAATAAATTCTTGTACAAAGTAGGAATGAATTCAGTACCGAATAATAGCTGAAAATAACTTAGCAGCCAATCTGCCATCTTGCCGTATTGCTCATGCACCGAACGGATCACCTGCTAGGCTGAGCCTTCCATCCGGGAAACTTAATGACAGCGAAACAAAAAACAGTAGCTTCAAGCCTAGCCGGTTCATAAAATGGTAACCTAAGTTTTTTTTCTGCTTGATCTCCCTTTCTGTAAGGTCGTAGGTTCTGAGCCTTGAATCGAATTCCGAAGGAATCCATCAACAACAAGTAGCTTTCTGGGAAAGAAGGGCGAGGATCTTAGTTACTTGGGCAGAAATCAGGTTTTTTTTTTCAGATGTCAAGTCCAGGGACAGGTCTTTGACGCTGCATCAAAAACGTGTCGTGACGGAACTCCATGGGGGTGCGCTTCATATGCTGAAGTGCAGTGTCGACACGGAGAGGTGAGCAAAGCCTTTTACTAGAGGTGTTGATACTGCCGTCTATCGAGAAAACTCGCAGTAATGAAGTTCTTCTTAGAGAATTGTTGACCAAAATTCGCCATTATGTGATCGCCGTGTGGTCGAGTGCCGTTACGGAAAATGGGTGGATCTACGATGCCCAGATGGCTACGTCTTTGGTAATATTTATTCGTAATTTTTTTCCTTTTGAAGAATTTTCAACTGCTGACAGGAATTTCTATAACAGAACTATCTTTAGGAATTAATATATGATTTACTTTTACCCTACATGATACATGGACAACATGGTACCCTCCAGACGCAAGGCTCACGAAAATTTTGGGGTACCTAGTTTTGGTAGAATAAAGGAAGTGAGAAGTCAGGATAGTGCAAAAGTTTAAGAAAACGCGAAAGTCGGCGTCTTCAGAAAAGCATAAAGTTTAAAAAAGCAAAAAGCAGTGAGTAGTAAAACTCAGAGGTGGACGTGAACGTGACGACAAACGTTGCCTGGAATGGGTGTTTGGACGAGCTGTTCAATTGTGCGCGCCATTGCATACAGCCTGCAATAAGCTGCTGCATGCAAAGTGTAGGTCCCGGTGCGAATGGTGCAACCCCTACAGCCTCTACAACGAAACCATATTTATCGTGAACTGTGCCTTTGATCTAACAGTGATGATTGGTCTATTCAGCTGATCGATGAACTTTCATTTCAAGTTTATTGATGGTTTGAATGTCGTCTTCTGTTATTTTTACATGTGTGATTTCTCAGATGAGCCGACGCTCAACTGCGTCCAAGGCGTCTGTCCAAATGAGCAGAAGTATCCAGGACCGGCTGGACTACCAGGCCCTGTAGTCCCTCCACCACGTCCGCCCCCGCCGCCCGTCAGTAACTTATATCAAGTCGTGCCTGTGAGTTTCCTTTTCGAATGTTTTTAAAAGTTTCTAAATACTTCGGTTCTATTTCTGAGTCTCAGGTCTCAGGCTCGTGATTGAAGGCTCACTGGGGTGTGGGGAGGGGGGGGGGCGCAATATTATCGATTTAGGTTTTAGCATCCTTCAAATAGCAGTTATCAAATAGAAATCACTTACACGAGGCTGAAATCGCAAGTATTTGAGAATGACTTTCAGGACTTCGTCGCTCCGTCTTGTCAAGGAAGCATGAGGATCGCTGACCAATACGACTGCGCACGATTCTGGCAATGCGAAACGTCAGGACGGT